GGATACAGACCCGACTGTCAGGGTGATATATTGTATTATTATGGGATATACTGTATTATTATGGGATATATTGTATTATTATGGGATATAGACCCAACTGTCAGGGTGATATATTGTATTATTATGGGATATATTGTATTATTATGGGATATAGACCCCCCTGTCAGTGTGATATATTGTATTATTATGGGATATAGACCCCCCTGTCAGGGTGATATATTGTATTATTATGGGATATAGACCCCCCTGTCAGTGTGATATATTGTATTATTATGGGATACAGACCCCCCTGTCAGTGTGATATATTGTATTATTATGGGATATAGAACCCCCTGTCAGTGTGATATATTGTATTATTATGGGATATAGACCCCCCTGTCAGTGTGATATATTGTATTATTATGGGATATATTGTATTATTATGGGATATACTGTATTATTATGGGATATAGACCCCCCTGTCAGTGTGATATATTGTATTATTATGGGATATAGACCCCCCTGTCAGGGTGATATATTGTATTATTATGGGATATAGACCCCCCTGTCAGTGTGATATATTGTATTATTATGGGATATAGACCCCCCTGTCAGTGTGATATATTGTATTATTATGGGATATATTGTATTATTATGGGATATAGACCCCCCTGTCAGTGTGATATATTGTATTATTATGGGATATATTGTATTATTATGGGATATACTGTATTATTATGGGATATAGACCCCCCTGTCAGTGTGATATATTGTATTATTATGGGATATAGACCCCCCTGTCAGTGTGATATATTGTATTATTATGGGATATATTGTATTATTATGGGATATAGACCCCCCTGTCAGTGTGATATATTGTATTATTATGGGATATACTGTATTATTATAGGATACAGACCCCCCTGTCAGGGTGATATATTGTATTATTATGGGATACAGACCCCCCTGTCAGTGTGATAAATTGTATTATTATGGGATATAGACCCCACTGTCAGTGTGATATATTGTATTATTATGGGATATAGACCCCCCTGTCAGTGTGATATATTGTATTATTATGGGATATAGACCCCCCCCTGTCAGTGTGATATATTGTATTATTATGGGATATATTGTATTATTATTTGATATAGACCCCCCTGTCAGTGTGATATATTGTATTATTATGGGATATATTGTATTATTATGGGATATACTGTATTATTATGGGATATAGACCCCACTGTCAGTGTGGTATATTGTATTATTATGGGATATAGACCCCCCTGTCAGTGTGATATATTGTATTATTATGGGATATAGACCCCCCCTGTCAGGGTGATATATTGTATTATTATGGGATATAGACCCCCCCCCTGTCAGTGTGATATATTGTATTATTATGGGATACAGACCCCACTGTCAGTGTGATATATTGTATTATTATGGGATATAGACCCCCCTGTCAGTGTGATATATTGTATTATAATGGGATATATTGTATTATTATGGGATATAGACCCCCCTGTCAGTGTGATATATTGTATTATTATGGGATATAGACCCCCCTGTCAGTGTGATATATTGTATTGTTATGGGATACAGATCCCCCCTGTCAGTGTGATATATTGTATTATTATGGGATACAGACCCCCCTGTCAGTGTGATATATTGTATTATTATGGGATACAGACCCCCCTGTCAGTGTGATATATTGTATTATTATGGGATATAGACCCCCCTGTCAGTGTGATATATTGTATTATTATGGGATATAGACCCCCCTGTCAGTGTGATATATTGTATTGTTATGGGATACAGATCCCCCCTGTCAGTGTGATATATTGTATTATTATTGGATATATTGTATTATTATTTGATATAGACCCCCCTGTCAGTGTGATATATTGTATTATTATGGGATATACTGTATTATTATGGGATATATTGTATTATTATGGGATATACTGTATTATTATTGGATATACTGTATTATTATGGGATATATTGTATTATTATGGGATACAGACCCCCCTGTCAGGGTGATATATTGTATTATAATGGGATATACTGTATTATTATGGGATATATTGTATTATAATGGGATATATTGTATTATTATGGGATACAGACCCCCCTGTCAGGGTGATATATTGTATTATAATGGGATATACTGTATTATTATGGGATATATTGTATTATAATGGGATAT